CATAGGGCCTAAACCACCACCTCAGGTTTGCCCTATGTTTTAATCCTCACTGAAGCAGTTGGGTTTAGACCCGAAGGACAGAACGCAACATTTTTCCCCAATAAATCCTCTTTTGTTGGGGCCTTCATTAGCTGTATCATCTCCAGATCTTTTGGCCAACTCAGTTAATAGGCCAAATCATGTGGTGACCCCAGACTGAGATCCTAGATATGTTTCTCATCATTCCTGCAAAAGATTGTGCAAACTGGCCAGCTGGAGCACCACACCAGCTGGCTGGCTCATTGCGCATCTAAACCGAACAATCAATGTCAGCTCTGAAAGCTTCAGGGTGGAAGATCCAGAGCAGCCAGGCTACTGTGGAGGTACAGAGTTGGGGATCCCTACTTTTCTGTACCAGATACCACCTCAATCCCAGGTACCTTGGCCAGAAAGAGTTCCCAAAAGCCTAGCACCCTGAGCTTGCCTGAAGAAGATGGGAAGTCCACAGGAGACTTAGAAGCACAGTGTCTCTTGACACCTGTGGAAGCTCATGCAGGAATGCGAATCCCATTCCAGCTTGGACAAGGTTAGGCTGTCTGCATAAAAAACAAAGCTCCACTCTTATTTCTCAAATCTCTCTACCATGCTCAGTCCTCAGGCTTATGCAGCACCATTCAGTCTTATTAACCTTCACCAAATTCTTCTGAGGATAAATTCTTCTCCCTCCACAATCAGGATATGATCCCACTTGAAGATTTAGTTTGTGGTCAATGTCATCACACAGGGCTGGGGAGATTTCTCAGTAGAATAATTGCTTGCCTGGCAAGTGCAGGGTCCTGAGTTCAATCCCCAGTACCACAAAAAAAAAAAAAAATCATCACACAACAGAAAAAGAATAACATGAAGATTTTTGAACCCTTATTATGTGACCCCATTTCAAGCATTTTGCACATATTATCTAGTGTTATCTTCCATCATAGAAAGGTGTAGAAGCTATTTCCCATTTTCATACAAGGAAACTGAGGCTCAGGCTGAGGGTGTGTGTAACTTATCCAAGGTCACATTTCTAGAAAATGCCAAACTTGGATTCACATCCACGTCCCTTCAAAGCTCAAAGCCATACAGTGACCACAAAGTAAAGTGTAGAGCAGTCAGCACGTTTCCAAAAGAAGTAGGAGGAAAAAGAAGGGGGTGGACGGAGAGATGGCTCAGTGGAATAAGTGCTTCCCTAGCAACCACAAGGGC